TCACAAGTCCCCTCTACACAGAGGCAGGGGACATCTCCCCCCCACCTTGGCCGCACTATACACAGCACAGTGGTATGGGTGCGGTCTCGGGGCAGCTCCCACTCCCGGGGATAGCCGGACATTCCAACCATGGTCTCTGTGCCAGCACAGCGCTCTGACGGTGCAGGGCACGGTCATCCTCACCTCGCAGAGGGGGGGCTGGGATTCACCCACTGTGTCCCCAGGAAGAACTGACGACTTCTCTTCTTTCTCCACAGCTGCACCAACTGCGTGTGCAGGGCGCACCACCCTGCCCGGGACATCCTCCTGCACCCGAGGGCTCAGTAGGTCCACTGCAACACTGCAAGGGTACCGAGACCAACACCTGGGGGCCCTGCGAGCCCTGCAGACGCTGGTGCAGAGCGTGCTGCCTCATGCCACTCCAGCGCCTGCTGCCTCCTCAGCTCCCGCTGCTCCTCCCACTCCTTCTCCCGCTCCTGTCTCTCCCTCCTCAACCTCCATACCCTCCTCCCCATCCCCTCGGGGACGCTGAGCCCCCCACACCCGCTGTGCGGGGAGACAGTTGGCCCGGCAAAACCTCTACCCCCTGAGCTACCCCTCCCCCTTCTTCCCCTTACTTCCCCCTTCCAGCTCCCTCCTTCCAGTTTCCCCCTCCCCTCTCCCACCCTCTCTCCTCCCGTCTCCCACCTCCTTTCCCCGGTCTCCCCATAGTTTCATTCCCCTCCACCAGTTTTGTTAAATAAAGAGAATTGATATTTTTGAAAATACGTGTATTTTATTTGACATTAGGAAAGGGGGCTAAGGAGGGGTATGTGGAAGGACATGAGGGAGGAATGAGGCACAAGCCCCCAGTGGGCAGACCAGGGAGGCTGTGAGTGCTCTTCAGGGTGGACGCACTTTCACAGGGCCTCCTGGATACTGACAGCCCCCCGATGGACCTCCCAGATGGCAGCCTGCAGCAAGTGCAGCCAGGCCGAAAGCAACGTGTCCACGAGAAGCACCAGAGTGCCCAGGGGCAGCTCTGGGTCCATGCTGCAGAGTCCTATGGTGTCCCAAATGAGGGCAACCGGGGCACTCCAAGACACAAAGGTTTTGCTGTCCCACACCGAGGCAGGCAAGCAAGCAGGGACACCTGAGAACTGGCTGTCCGGGGGCAAGGGGGGAGGGTGTCCCTTTAAGCACAGGCCTCAGATACCCTCAGGCAACCGCCACACAAAGACACTCCTTACCTGATGCCCTAACCCTGACCTGATTCCGGCCGACCTTAAATCAGTGTCCACTCAGTGTGCACGTGGTATTTCGAAATAGCAAAAAGCTATTTTGAAATGCATTTTATGTGTAGACGTGTTATTTCTAAATAACTTATTTCAAATTAACTATTTCGAAATAAGATATTTCAAAATAACGCTATCGTGTAGACATACCCAAGGTGAGTAACTCCCTTTCTTCTTCAGGTGATGTCCCTAGGGGTGCTCCACGTATGGTGACTACCAAGCAGTGTCCCATGCGGTTGGTGGGACTCAGAGTTACTGCTTATTGTCTGCGGACAGAACTGCTGTACCCACCGCTGTATCGTTTGCCAACTGGAGAATTATTGCATAATGTTTAGAGAATGCGTGGTCAGAGGACCACGTTGCTTCTCAGTAAATGTCTCGTAGAGGCACATTTTTTAAGAATGCCGTGGATGCTGACATAGCCCGGGTAGAATGGGCTCTTGGTAGAGTTGGCAGCAGTTTACCAGAGTGGTTAACTGTAAACTCCAAATGGTCTTGGAGAATGCAAGTCGCTACCAATTTTGAAATTCGTTGAGTCAACAAAGGGTTGCCCTTTGAAAGGCCAGTCGTAGCAGCAAAGAGACATGGGGTCTTGAGAAAACTCCGAGTTCTGTCACTGTAAAAAGCCAAAGTACATCCAATGAATGCAGCTTTGCCTCTCTGGATGAAGCATGAGGTCTTGCGAAGAATGTAGGCAAGATAATGGGTTCAGTGATGTGGAAGCTTATGCCGAAGGAGGAGCATCGGGTGCAGCCTCAAAGTCACTTTGTCCTTACTAAGCACTGTATAGTGCAGGCCCTCCATTAGCGCTCGTTAATATGGAAAGAGGAGCTAATCTTAGGCACGAACGATGGGTGCAGTCTTAGTGTAACTTTGTCTTTTGTGAATATAGTATATGGTGGGCCCATCATGAGGCTGTAATAGTTGTCCCTATTTCTGCTATAAGGAGTGTATCTCTTTCTCCGATATGGTAGTGTGTACATGCCAAGGGTGTGAAGTGTAGTGTGAGTGTCCTTGCTGCTATGCAGGATCTCATCTATGTTCATGGTGAAAAGTTTTTATTTATTGAAAGGGAGATCTTCTACTTTCGTCTGTAACTCTTTAGGCACCCTGCTACTTTGAAGTTGATTGATCAATTAAGGGCAATAGCCCATAAGGGAAGGCAATTAAGTGTGAAGAAACAACACCTGAGGCAAGAGAGGTTACAAGTCCGCCTGTTACCACGGGCAGTTGAAGAGGAACAGAGGGGAGGAGGTTGGGCCGCAATCAACTGTCACACTGCCGGCAGCACAAGACACCTGCTGCGCATGTGCAGCCCGACTAGCAACTACTTAGAAAAAGTTCCGATCTGCAGCTCTAGGGATGCCCGTCACCATACGTGGAGCACCCACGGGGACATCACCTGAAGAAGAATCCATTACTAAATATTTGCTGCCCACGTAGGTACTGATAGCCTGTAATCACATCAACCTTTGCTCTTTGTTATGCTACATACGCATTGAGCTTTTTGTGTCTATTGCTAGGAGGCACATTTTTTGATCCTTTAGTCTTTCTTCTTTGAACCCTCTCCAATTTATCAACATCTTTCTTGAATTGTAGAGAGTAAACCTGAACACAGTATTCCAGCAATGGTCGCATCAGTGTCATATACAGAGGTAAAACAACTTAGTCAAGAGTCTTTTGTTTACGGATCCAAGGATTGCATTTAGCTATCATGGCTACAGAATTGCACTTCAAGTTCATATAAGCTGATTATCCACCCCAACCCATAGGTCTTTTTCAGAATTACTACTTCTCACAACAGAGACCCCATCATGTAAATATGGTATACACTCTTTGTGAATATATAAATTTGTATTTAGCTCAATTAAAATGCATATTGTTTGCTTGTGCCCAACTTAAAGTGTTCCAGATCGCTTTGCATCAGTGATATATCCTCTTCATTATTTATTTCCTCACTTTTTGTGTCACCTGCAAATTTAATTAGTAATAATTGTGTTTTCTTCCAGGATATTCATAAATATTAAACAGTCTAGTCTCAAGAATGCATTTCTTTGGAGATCCCCCATAAACACACATCTGGTCAACGAGGATTCCCCATTTACAATTACATTTTGAGATCTATGAGTTAGCCATCTCTCAATCCATTTAATGATTGCTGTTAATTTTGTATCTTTCTAATCAAAATGTCATGTGGCACCAAATGTCCTATAATGCATTATATGAATATTATCTTTATTAATCAAACTTTAAATCTCAAAGAGATCAGTTTAGTTTGAGTGATCTATTTTTCTTAAGCCCATATTGATTAGCAAGGGCAGAAGAGGTGGTGCGGGGCCTGTGACAGAGGGTTTTCCCCACAATTATGGCAGGAAGGAGTAACCCCAGGCCTCACTCCCCACTTAGGGATGGCCCAGATGATCATTTTCTTCCAAGTTCTCAATTACTCAAACAGGTAATGCGATTTTGACTTAATGTAATCTTCTGTATTTACTGAGGGTTGTTTTTCCTGAACACCCTTCATGGAACAGTTTTGAAAACTATCAAACATAACAGGTAAGACTGAATCCATGGTCCAAGAGGTGGCAAATCTGGGTAAAAGTTATAGTCACAAATGCAGCAGCAATTTCACTTACACTAAGGGGACTACAAGTAGCCTGTATAGCCCTCAAATAGAGCGGCCTTCTCCAGGAAAGGGAGGGTGAGTAAAGGTAGATAGGAATGAACTACTTCTTAGCAAAAAGCAAGAAAAAGGAGGTTACTCACCTTCCTGTAACTGATGTTCGAGATAAGCATCCCTGGGGGTGCTCCACATAAGATGTTGAGCATCCCACTGCTTCTCAACAGATTTTTCTTAGCAGTGCATTGGGGGCCGTGCATGCGCAGTGCACACGAGCCTTCCCCGGAGCCATCGCGCATGTACGCCCCCCCCCTTCAGTTCCTTCTCTATCTGGAACCCGGCAAACAATGTGTTATAGATGTTATCATAAGGGCATTCCAAAGTAGAGGGGAGGAAGGGAGGGTAGTGGAACACCCTCAGGCATACTCATCTCGAAGAACATCATTTACAGGAAGGTGAGTAACCTCCTTTTCTTCTTCGAGCAGCATCTCTGGGAGTGCTCTACATTAGGTGACTTCAAAGCAATATTTTCTTATGGAGGTAGGGATTTCGGATCAGGTAAGTATGCTGTTTATAATACAGCTTTTGCTAGTTTAGTATGCTGGAGGGGTCCTGAAGCAAGTGCATAATGTTTTGCAAAAGTGTTTTCTTAAGACCACATGGCCACTGAACATATGTCATGCAGTGGAATTCTTCTCAGGTAAGCGATAGACGTGGCAACTGCTCTTGTGGAGTGTGCCCAGATTGGAATTGGAAAAGGTAAGTCGTTTAGCGAATAATAAGTAGTGATGCATTCTGTGATCCAATGTGACAATCTCTGTAATAAACAGAAGTGGGAAATGGAAAACAAAAATAGTTTTCTTCTGAATATTAAAAGGTAAGCTGAAAAATTAAGCTATGGAAGTCACACTACAGCCTCTGCTTGACAATCACTTTACCAAAATAATAATTCCCATAGACGTTTTCCCTTCTCCATATCGACAGCTATGGAATTATTGCAGCTTTCCATTCAGACTCTCTCAAAATATGTAACTAGAACATTTACAATAAACAAACCAAACTAGTCTTATTTCTCATAAGAAACAAGAGCCTTTCCAGTAACCTTGTACATAGATGCTTTATTTCTGCTGTTAATATGGGTCTGCATTATATGCAAGATTTTCTTACATGAAACAAAGTTCATTGTACAACAAAAAAACAACTTCATCAAGGCATTTGTTGTACATTTTATCAAAACCTTAAAACAAAATGAATTATATATGTAGTCAGTTTTCATGCATGTTTGGCTGCTGCATGTATAGTCTACTTATAAACTGAAAGAAATGCAAATGCACACAACATTCAAAAGATGATAAAAAAGATTAAAACCTTCTTGCTAAAGCAATAAAGAAGCAGTTAACTAGATGATTCAACCAATACCAATTCAAATAAATACTACTTATCATAACTAAGTTTAACCTTGGTACTGGTGTCTTTGGTGCAACCATTTCTTCTAAAAAAAATCCAGGGGGGGAAAAATCCAGTTCCTGGCATGAAAGAATTACAAGAATCTCTCTACATATTATGCAACTTAATCACTTTCATTCATTTTGTGCCACAAATTGGATTCTCCTTGTGAAATCTACTGCTAGCAATGAACACACCAAAACCACCATGCCAAGGGGTTCTAATCGGCTCCTCCCATTTGACACGAATGAGGAATAATCCTCGCACATCTTGGATTTTTAGATCTCTTTTCTATAAGCATTTCTCTTACTTTTAATCTGATTTAAAATGGATGTAACTTTTAAATGCCTAGATTCTATAGTAGGCTTAAAAACATTCAATATTTAAACAGTTCTTTAAAAATACTGGAACCCATGAGCTGTTTTAAAAAGTATTTTAAATAACCACATATTGCTTTTCAACATACCATATACCAAGTGTTCAAATTAAATAACAAACCATTTTCTGAAGATCTTGGTATTACGTGGTATAAATTCTGTGGCATAAATTTTGCTATATCCGGCATAGTAATGGTTGATCTCATTAAGATAACTGGAGAACCTGCCATCATTTTTTTTGGGGAAATTTTACATACAGTGCATATGATGCCCGCTCTTTCCATCTCTCATAGCAGCAAGCCGATTCTGCTATTATCAATAGCAGCACACCAGGGAGTGGAGAGGAAGAGTGTCTGAATTATAAATAGCTAAAACTACAGTGTACAATTCTATTTACTTGTCAGTATTGTTGATAGCACACAATTATATAATCTGCAAGAAATTAACTACATAAAAATCTCTACAACAAAAGCAAACCAAAACATTCCTTCAAAAGAGACAAAGTAAGTGCAAATACCTAAAATAGGCAACTGAAGCAACTGTTGTAACCTGTAAAGGTTTAAATAAGGACAAATATTTTCATAAATAAAAATGTTCTCTTCCCTCTTCTAATATTTAGTATGTAAATATACAATGGTCAAACTTCTAAGTGCAGATAAGACTGTTTTTAAAAACAAAGGTGCCAAGTTTTTTTAAACATGTAATAAAATTCATTCATTTTTAATTCATGAATAGGGTCACATACAGGACCTCCAGCTTGCTCTCATACATATAATTAATTAAAAACATGTTATCGGAATACCTGTAATATTATTATAAAGGAATAGTTTATAAACTACTTTGCCGACCAACATGATTTGAAGGGTATATAGTGCAATCCTTAGGTAGATGTAACATACAGTATAGATTTATATGCTTCACAGACTGTAATGATGCAGCTATTCAATACTTCAAGGTTAAAACTTGTCCTTTACCATTTTAGCTGTTATAACAGGAAACAACATTGGCTTCTAGACAACCTATGTACACATAAATATCTACATTTAAGCTTTAAAATGAAAATAAATTATAAAGACAGAATCCCTTCCAATTTACAAAAGTTTCCCTGTTCCTACATACTGTACAATACATTCAACAATTGTCTCAGTTTCTGAGATTTATGAATACTGATGTTTTACACTAATGAAAAACTTAATTCATCCCATTTGCCTACTATCATATTTCTAGTACCATTCTCAAATAAATATATTTAACACTGTAGTTAATTTTATTGTTTTTGCAGCATACCAAAAACTAGTAGTGCAACTTTCTATCCTTCCTTTAGACTCCTTTCCATCGTGTTTCTTTATATGTAGAAAAAAAATGCTACATAAGCAACTGAGCACTTAAGCAAAAGCATTTTCATACAGCTATGTATGTTGCTTATTCAGAAATCAGAAGTACCTGTAAACCTATCCTACATTAAAAAATGTATTAACTGGAGAGTAGCAACGTATGTCATGAAGAAAAATGTGAAAAATTGGGGTAAAAAAAGTGTACACTGACATTTACTCAAATACTATTTACACCTTGCTTTAGATTTTTTTTTTTTAATGTTGAAAAAAGTTACTTTCAGGATTGTTTGTGCTATCCTTTACTTCCAAAGGAAAAGCATGATATGTCAGCCTTTTGCCAATTAAAGAGACAAGTTTTCCTTTACAAGGATGTCTCAAAAACCAAAGACTTCATTCACATATATTTAACTGAAATCTCCTTCAGTTTAGTGTTAATTGTAAGGGGAAGGTATGGTTTTATAAGTTGCAGCAATCCTCACAGAATTAGAGCCCTTGAAGTGCTGCCAGAAGCTGTATATGTGCTCAGATATCTTCTTGCTTGTTCAGTCATGATAAGCTGATCTTCTGTTTTTCCATAAACAACTGCTTCCCATTCACAATTTGACTATATTAAAAAAAAGTTAAAAGAAAATTATACATTTTAAATAGTTGTATTTGGAATACTTCAGAATTTAAATACAATCCCAATTCAGATTCTCTTTTAAATGCTATCCACACTAAATTTCACAACAGTTTATTAATCATAAAAATTCAAGTACAGGTTGCACCTCTGAAAACTGACACACTCCGGTCCAGCAACATCTGTGGTCCTGCTGGACTACAGATGCTCCTAGATCATAGAGCCCGGGAGCCTAATGACAGGAGGGCCAGCAACATGGTTAGGGCTAGGGGCAGTAACAGCACAACTAACAGCCTAGCTGGCTCAGGACAGGTGGCAGAGGACACCTCCCCTGTAGTGTCCTCAGTCCAACCTGTAATACCACATTTTATTGTTAGAGTTCATGTATTCTGCAATACCCATTACATAAATTGCGTGAAAGTTTACTGATTTTTTCAGGCCACTAGCAGTCCCTATGTGCCATGCTGAAAGCTCTAAGGCAACAGAAGTGAAGTATCAAGAGAGGCTTTCTTAAATTGAAATATGCATTGTAATTGATGTTGCAATAGCCAATCGAGTAAAACCCATCTTTTAGAATGTTTTCCCATTTATTTTACTCTGGTGAAGTTTCAAAAGGCAGCAAATGCAGTATTAACAATGCCCAGTAACTGCCGTTCAGGGGGAAGCTTTGACAACTGGGAGGGGCATGGTGTCTTGAAAGGATGCAAGGTACTTTTTTTTTTTTTTTTTTTTAAACACAGCAATGTTTGCCAGCTGTGAAAGAGGGGAGAATTAGACATTGTGGGATGAGTGGAAGATGGTAGTGGATATGGCCCTCCCCAACTCTGCAGAAATCCTGTGGACTGACATTCAAGCATGGGAAGCAAATGTGTAGAATGTCTCTGCCTCAGGCCGGATTTGTAGTAGTCTTTTAAAGAGCTAGCATAAGGAGCTGTGAGAAATCTACTGCCATGTAACCACAAACCAGAATCTGTCCCAAAGGAAATTTGTGATTACACAGAACCACTTTTCCGATAAATGTTAGCCATTTAACATTACCAAGTGTTTCAATCCTAAAATAAAACTGATACGTCTAATTTCAGAATGTAAGGACAGGCAGTCCCCGGGTTACGTACAAGATAGGGACTGTAGGTTTGTTCTTAAGTTGAATCTGTATGTAAGTCAGAACTGGCATCCAGATTCAGCCGCTGAATCTGGACACCAGTTCTGACTTACATACAGATTCAATTAAGAACCCCAGGCATCCCCAAGTCAGCTGCTGCTGAAACTGATCAGCAGCGGCTGAATCAGGACTCCTGGGGCTGAGCAGCTGGGGTGCTGCCGGGTTGGTCCAGTAGCGCCAAGGAGCGGTGCTGCGGGACCAACCAGCAGCGCCCCACCTGATCTACCACAGGCCCCGGGCTTTGCTCCACATCTCCCTGGTCTGCTGGGGGGGGCACTAGCTTCCAGATCAGCGCCGCGGTCCGGCCCGGGTCCTGCGCCGCTTTGCTCAGCGTCTCCCTGGTCTGCAGACCAGGGAGACGCTGAGCAAAGCGGCGCAGGACCCGGGCCGGACCGCGGCGCTGATCTGGAAGCTAGTGCCCCCCCCAGCAGACCAGGGAGATGTGGAGCAAAGCCCGGGGCCTGTGGTAGATCAGGTGGGGCGCTGCTGGGTTGGTCCAGTAGCGCGGCCGCTCCTCGGCGCTACTGGACCAACCCAGCAGCGCCCCACCTGATCTACCACAGGCCCCGGGCTTTGCTCCACATCTCCCTGGTCTGCTGGGGGGGGCACTAGCTTCCAGATCAGCGCCGCGGTCCGGCCCCAGGTCCTCCGCCGCTTTGCTCCCCGTCTCAGCAGACCAGGGAGACGGGGAGCAACTCGAGTCCTCCGGGGCAAGAAAATCCCCGTTCGTAACTGCGGATCCGACATAAGTCGGATCCGCGTAACTCGGGGACTACCTGTAATCCAAATAAAAAGAGTTTACTTAAAAATTGTCCAGTTCAGACAAAGTAAGTTTCTATGGCTGAATTACAAGCTCAAAAGACAGGAATCATGGAAATACTGACCCAAATAATAATGATGGCAAAAATATCAGCTACCAAAAGACTGAGGTACAAAAATTAAAAAAAAAAAAAATTAACAGTTGACATTGGTAATGAAATTAACAAAAAGGTATCTTGAATCCAGACCTGAAGAGACTTTTCTGTTTTGACATTTTTTGAAGTGCAAGAATTCTGTTTCTTTTTAATTACTGCATTTGTTTTGCTTGTTGAAGTCATAGCCTGTTTCTCCAATGTCAGGTTACATCTGTTGTCATGTATTTCCAATAATGGTATCATTAGTAAAGATGTAGTATAGATATTTTCTGACTAATGGCAAAAAGACAAGAAATGGGGAAGAGGAATAAAAAGTTAGTATTTAGTAAAATAACCTTTAACTATTACTTCCAAAAAAAACAAAAAAGGGAAAAAAAGAGGTTTAACGGTAGTTCGAATTAGGAGCTTTAATTCGAACTACCTAGTCCGTGCCGCATGTAGCTGCGGGCAGGTAGTTCGAACTATGGGAATTTAAAAATGGCGCCCGCCCGGGAACATGCAAATCCCAGGCTTCATTTGCAAGTTCGAATGCCTACATTAGCCACCCGAGTTCAAACTAGGGTGGCAGTGTAGACATACCCTTGGAATTCTCCCTTTTCCCCCTTTATTTCAAAAGTTTCCCATCCTATAACCACCATACTACAGCCAGTGGCCTTCTTCCCAAGGATGGAACAGGTCTACTCATCACCATCCGTCCTTAAAATTGACTAAACAGGCAAGATTTCCCCTGTCCACTGCCATCCAAGAACTCAGTGGTCCAACAAACAAAAGATCCACACTTGCAATACAATCCAGACATTCCCAAAACACACTCCCACATACTACTGCATGGAGCATTCCCCAAGAAGAAACTGGAGACAACTTTTTTTTTTTAATTGCATGAAGTTTACTCTTACTTGTCAATAGTTAGTCCTAGGGTGACTATTAATTAAAGCTGATTTTTTTTTTTTAGAAATGGAGAAATATTTGTTAAATTTTTCATCAAAATTTCTCCCAGCGCCATTATTTACTAGTGTACCAACCTGTACATCCAAAACATTATCTTCATTGAAGAGCTGGGCGCCAAGTTCTTCTTTTTCCCAAGAATCCAATACCAATGACTTTCTGACTTTCTTAGCAGAAGTGTGCTGTGATCAACATTTTACAAAGAAAATAATTACTACAATTTAAGAGTTGTTTTATTACAATAGTGGTAGCAAAAAATGGCAATATACTGCACCATCACCTCTTGCTTGCAGCTTTTATAAACAGAGTCATCTTCCTCCTTAAGGAATATGTCTGTTCCAGTCTCCTCTTTTAAAACCTCTCTAATATCTTCCTCCAAGAAGGCAAGTGGCTGTGACTGATTTAAATCGGAGGTGGAGGGAAAGGCACAGAAAATGTATGAGTTGCTGGCTTTCACCACATTTTACATCCATTTTGTTTACTACCGCAAGGAGGTATAATCTCTTCCATAGGAGATAAAAAGTGTCAGTAAAATACATCAACAAATCAAGGAATAAAAATTACTTAATTTGATAACTACAGTTCAGCATTTCAAGGCTGCACAGATTTTAACAATGCTATATTATTCCAAGTTATTTTTAGCCAGCTTGTTTCCCCATCAAGCATATAAACATTTTTAATCTTAAACAAGGAAAGTTTTTATATAAACTACATACCAGTTTGTATTTATTAGCCAACAGAACTAAGAATAATTAATTTTCCCTGAGAAGAATCACATCGTAGTAGAACAAGCCATTGTATAGGTTGAAACTCTTTTAACCGGGATTTTCTTGTCCAGCAACATCCGTGGTCTGGCAGGACCATGAATATTCCAGGACCAGAAAGTCCCAATGGAGAGCTAGCACATGGGAGCCCTGTAGGCTGGCAAGTGGGAAACTGCCATACTGCAGCAAGGAATCCCAGCAGGGCAGTGGGAGCGCCACATGTGGTAGTGGAACTGCACAGTGTGGAGCAGGAGCCCGGTGTGCGGACGTGGCAGGGCTGCCAGGTGCTGCAGCAGGATCTGACAAGGTAGTGAGGGCTAGTGAGAGCGGGAAGGGGACCAGGAGGCCAGCAATCAGGCCAGGGCTGGTAGGGGGCTGGTGTCAGGGGGACCAGAAATGACCTCCTCTGGTCCAGCAAAATCCCTAATCCGGGACTGGTCAGGTCCCAAGGGTGCCAGACCAGGAAGGTCCAAACCTATACTATTTTTGCAGGGGACATTTCAAACTGAACATATACATTATTGGATTAGAATGTCCAATTTTATTTTATACTTGCAAATTCAGACTATACACACAATGGGGATGTTTCATCCCCTGTAAATGGCACTATGGTTTATGTACAGGCAGTCCCCGACTTACGCGGATCCGACTTACGTCGGATCCGCATTTACGAACGGGGCTTTCTCGCCCCGGAGGTCGAGGTGGCGGATTGCTACCTGCGAGCTGCGGGGCG